TGAACCACCCACTCTAATGCTCCTTTATCCACCTGTTCTCTCTTCAACAAGATGCTCCCTTACAGGAAAACCACCAGCCTTTTCCCCTTGTGTGAGATATGAAAACGTACCTCACAGCCCGACTGGCAGATGGCACCTCTGAGGGGCAGGGGGCAGCCCCTTGGAAAGCCATGCAGTGCTCCCCTCGCCCCCGGAGGGGCACAGGCTAGCACAGATACACGCCCCATGGTGCTGTCCGCATGCTCCTCCTCAGCTCTAACTCACAACCACTGTGGGAACCACCTTAAGCCGTGTCCCAGATCATCAGGAGCTTTGTCACTTCCAAAGAGCCTCAGGTGACAATTTCCTAACCTCATCAGTTTTAGAATGCTCATTGAAAGTGGCTAAGAAGAAAGCCTTAATCAGGGCTCTCCTTTCTCAGACATTGTTTTTTGTGTGGTTTGTTTACAATTTTAAAGCAATATCAGTTTATTGTAGAAAGTACAAGAACCGATTCTACTCTTTTTTTATTTTCTGTGAATTATTGAAAAGAAATTTTGGGCTTTTTTGCAGAATAAATCATACTTGTTTTCCTATGCCATTAAAAATTTTTTTGAAACATGGTAATGGATGCATAATATTCCCTTGCATGGAAGTACCTTTTATTTTCTTTCAGCTTTATTGAAGTATAATTGACAAATAAAGTTGTAAGCTCTACATTTTTACACCCCTCCTCATATTTTATGCTTTTGATGTCACAGTTTGCATCTTTTTACACATGTACCCATTAACAAATTATTATAGTTATTTGTAATACTTTTGTCTTTTAATCTTCATACTAGAGTTATGTCATTTACCTACCACCATTACAATATTAGAATATTCTGAATTTAACTATGTATTGACTGTTACCAGTGAGTTTTATATTTTCATGTTTTCCTGTTAATAATTAGTGTCCTTTCATTTCAGTTTAAAGAAATCCCTTGAACATTTCTTGTAAGGCCAGTCTAGTGGTGATGAACTCCTTCAGCTTTTGTTTGTCTGGAAAATTCCTTATGTCTCCTTCAATTCTGAAGGACAACTTTGCCAGGTAGAGTATTTTTGGTTGGCCATTTTTTTTCTTTCAGTACTTTGAATATATCATCCCATTAGCTTCTGGCCTGCAAGGTTTCTGCTGAAAATTCTGATGATAGCCTTATGAGGGTTCCCTTGTATGTAACAAAAATTGCTTTTTTCTTACCACTTTAAGATTCTCTCACTGTCTTTCACTTTTGACAATTTAATTATAATGTGTCTCAGTGTGAATCTCTTTGGTTCATCTTATTTGATACTCTCTGGGCTTCCTGGATCTTAATGTCTGTTTCTTTCCCCAAGTTAGGGAAGTTTTCAGCCATTATTTCTTTGAAAAACTTTCTGGCTCTTTCTCTCTGGGACCCTTATAATGCATGTACTGATCTGTTTAATGGTGTCCCATAAGTCCCTTAAGCTATCTTTTCCCTTTTTTGTTCTTTTTTCTTTTTGTTCCTCTGATTGGATGAATTCCTCTGCCATGCCTTCAAGTTCATTGATCCTTTCTTACACTTGATTTAGACCCCTCTATTGAATTTTTCTGTTCAGTTATTATATTCTTTAGCTCTGTGATTTCCATTTTGTAATTTTTAATATTTTCTATCTTTTTGCTGAAATTCTCACTTTGTTCACACATTGCTCTCCTGACCTCAGTGAACATCTTTATAACTGTTATTTTGAACTCTCTATCAAGTAAATCACTTATCTCTGTTTCATTAAAATCTGTCTCTTGAGATTTACCTTGTTCATTTGTTTGGAACATATTGCTTTGTTTCTTCATTTTCCGTAACTCTCTGTATTGGTTTCTGCACATTAGATAAAACAGCCGCCTCCCCCAGTCTTGACAGTGTGGGCTCGTGTAGGAGGTGAACCTCATCAATCAGTCCTGTTTGAGCTCCTGATTGTGTCTCAAACCTTTGTGACTGTCCAAGCCATCTTCTTTGTTCTTAGAGGCTCCCAGTGGTTGAGGGTGTGCCAAGACCCATCAGTGTCCTGAAGGGGAGGATGGCATTCAGCACCTAGATGCAGGCTGATTGGAAGCTGGACCCTCAGGCAGCAGCTGGGATACTATGTAGTTAAACCCCTTTCAGAAAAAAACTGGGAGATAAGTGTTTTTGCCTGCTCCCTTTGTGCTGGATCTGGGTTTATAGGCACAGGAGAGTGCTCTTGTAACTATTAAGAACTACTGTTTTGTTTGCTACAGCACTGTAGGACTTGTGAATACAAGCCCTGTTGGCTATCAGAGCCAGGTGATCTGGCGTGCCAAAGCTGTGGTGCCAGATGTGTGTACAAGCTCCTTCCAGGGGGATACTGGCAAGTTGGAGCAGGCGAGAGGGAGAAGGCAGAGGAGGTGTCTGCCAGTTCCCCAGTCTCTGGAGAGGATCACAGCCAGCAGCTAGATGTGTTCTAAATTAGAAGCCTGACCGTCAGGCAGAAGCTTTCAAAGTATGAAGATGGACCCCTTTCAGGGAAAGACGAAGGTGGGCGTATTTGTCTGCTCCCACAGCTTTGAATCCTTCAGAGGATATCTGGTTAAGAACTGTTTGCTTCAGTCTTTGGTACTCATGAATGGAAACCCCACTGACTATCACAGCCAGGTGATCTGGGTACCTGTCCCTCAGGTGGCTATGCAAAAACTGGGGCACATATGTGTGTACAAGCTCCTTCCAGGGAGATACTGGCAACTTAGAGTGGGCTAGAAGGAGAAGGCAGGGGAGGTGTCTGCTAGTTTCCTAGGTCCCCAGGAAGGATTGCAGGCAGCCAGTAGGTATGTGCTAAATTAGAAACCTGACCCACAGGCAGCAGCTTTCAAAGTATGAAGATGGACCCCTTTCAAGGAAATACTGGGAGGTGGCTGTTTTTTGCCTGCTCTCTCTGTGCTGAGCTCTCGGGAGATAGCTGCCGTGAGTGATCATGTGCCAGTTAAAAACTGCTTCTTTGTTTGCTATAGTATTGTGGATCTCCTGGATGCAAGCCTCTTTTGCTTTCAGAGCTAGGTGTTTTGGGGGCCCATCCCTTGGGTGGAAGTCTTAAAAGCTGGGGCACTCGATGTTGGATCCAAACCCTTCACACTCAAGGAGAAGCTGTGAGTTGTGAATTTCCACCCCATTGTATAGTGCTATGCTGGTGGTGTGGTTTATGGCAAGAGTATGTTCAGCCTCTCCTACCTGTTTCACTGTGGATATTTTCTCATTTGCCTGATGTGTAGGAGTCACTCAGCTAATTTCTACATTTCTTCCAGAGATAGTTGCTCCCTGTGTAGGTGTATATTCAGTGTGTCCATGGAAGGAGAGGAGTTCAGGAGCCTCCTATATTGCCACCTTGGTCGACCCCCTCTGGAAGCGTTACTGCATACAAACACAGGTTCTTTACCTGCCACACAAGAGGGGCCAAATAAAAACTGGAATGCCAGGCTTATGGTAGGGAAAGGGTTTTTACTTGGGGTGACATCAGCCGGGAGATGAGAGTGAGCCCTCAAATTTGTCTTGTCTCCCCAAAAGATGGGAGGCAAGTGGTTTTAAAGGTTGTAAGGACTGCAGCTGCTTGTAGGGAGGGGGAACCTGTGGCCTTGCTGGTCAGCGCCCTCCCACCAGTCTGCATTTGGCCTCATGAGGCTGCTTGAAGGGAGGGTGATGGTGAGATAAGGGAGTCCACAGGTGAGTGTCCTTGGTTGTCTGCCTCCATGGTGGATGGTAAAGTCTGGCACCAGGAAGCCAAGGAGTTGGGGTCTGGGAAGCTTTAGCTTCTTGGTATTCTCTGGATATCAGTTTCTCTGTAATAAAACTTCAAAAGACCCAAAACTAGTCAAAACTTCAGTGTAAGCCCAGTGTGAGGCTACCCAGGCTTTTAACAATTTGTAACTTCTATTTACCTTGTGAAGTTCAGGGATACAAAAGTTTTTTAAAAAACAATATTTACATATGAATGCAACTTAGAAAAGCAGGGAAAGGGGATGAGTGTTTTTGGTTTTAACCTTATATATGCTGGGTTTAATGTAGGGGAAATGATATCAGGGCTGGCATCAATTCCCCCCCATTTTTATGTTCTTTCCTCAATCTTGAGGGATTCAGGGCAACAACTGATTTAGCTACTTCCTGCTGAATCGGAGCATAGATCTGGGTTAGAGAAACGAGACCGCTTCGCACTTATTTGGAAATAATTTCTTGTTCCTGGCTTTAGGTTGACATTTGTATTATTAGAATTTTTGTACCTTGTTCAACAGTTTTGGAACATCTAAAGGCACAGGAAGTATCTGACCAGAATGATAAGTATAGACAACCCAAATTTTAATAGTCCCTGAAAACTAGACTTTATCCCTTGAGGAATCCAAGAAAACAGTCCTGAAAACCAGTCTGGACCTGGTAACTCTGGGGATACCAGCTGAAAGGGGCATAGGTTGATCTATCTCATTGAACCAGTCTCTTAGTAAGGCGGTGAGGCAGGTGGGCTCCCAAAGTTAGGCCTATATTTTGTAAGCAAGTAACCAGGTATTTAATAAGTATTTCTAGAGAAACAAAAAGATAAACAAGGTTAATGATTGGAGCAAATTATAAACCAGTTCCTGAGCCCAGGGGGCAGCCAAGCAAGATTTCTAGAAGTCATGGTCACAGCATCTTTTGCAGTTTGAAATGTCTCTGATGGTGTTATTGGGTGTTCAGGTATCTTTCTGAATGGCTTACACAGCAACAGGCATGAATCTTTCTTAAGTACATATCAAGATGTCCAGCTTCAGCTTGCAGGGCTTTAGGAAAAAGGGTAATCTCAGTTTTCATTGATTCCAAATGAAAATGATGGAGGGCCGGCCCCGTGGCTTAGCAGTTAAGTGCGTGTCCTCTGCTACTGGCGGCCCAGGTTCAGATCCCGGGGGCGCACCGATGCACTGCTTCTCTGGCCATGCTGAGGCCATGTCCCACATACAGCAACTAGAAGGATGTGCAGCTATGACATACAACTATCTACTGGAGCTTTGGGGGAAAAATAAATAAATAAAAATAAAAAATTATAAAAAAAAAAAGAAAATGATGGAAAATGTTATTTTGGAGATTTGTAGCCAGATATTTCAGGAGACTAGAAGAATTTGTGATCCAGTCCAGTTAACAAAAACCTCAAGACAATTAACAGAACCAGAATTCAACATCCACAAACGTGTATTATAGTTTCTATTGAAACATAATTTTTTTCTCTAAAATTATCCTCATTTTCACTAAAGATATCCAAATTAAGACTAACTAGTTTGTAAAATAAGTCTAGTTTTAATAAACTTGGCTCAATTATTTACATAAGTACAGCAAGAATAAGAACTGATCATATAGGCTCTTTTAAATCTTCTTTGCTGGAACTTTTTATAAGGAATTTTAGATTGAACTTTAAAGGGCTCTCAAGGCCAGGAAAGCCAAGCCAAGGACTTTGTCATCAGACTTGCCTATCATACCTACAGATTTAGATGAATTCCTCTCTTTTTTTGAGGTTCCCCAAAATATTGAGGTTCCAGGCACCTGCCAGATAAGTGACTTTCCTTACTTACCCAGTAAGGTTGCTGTTCAGAATGCTGTAAACAAGGTACCAAGCCAATATTTCTAAGTGGCTTTATTCCATAAAGTCCAATCTTTGTCTCTCAAAAGATGTCTGGTCGTATCTGAGTCTATGTACGTTTTTCTCAAATATATTCCAGTCAAAGCTTTGGTAATATAACCAATGTTTCCAACTGTGTCCTGTTATAAGGAGAACAGATTCTTATTGAACTTATGTAAATAAGTATATTGCCATGAAATAGATTTACTTACTAAGAGTTTCCAAATTCTGGAGGGATCAGGTAGAGAGAAAAAAATAAATGTTTCAATTCTGCTTACAAATGTATAATTTACCAAATTGTTATTAAGTCATAATTAGTTTAAGATAAAAGAGAAAAAGGTTTTCTTAAATCTGAAAAAAAAACACCAAAAAAATCAGCAATATTTCAAACAAAAAGTCATAAAAATTATAATCATTCTTGTCAGTTTACTTAGTTTCATGTAACCAACTCTTGATCTTCTGTTAGCAGTTTCGTGAGGCCATCAGTTTTTCAGTTATAGTTGTATAATTTCTTATCCAGCTCAATTTCATAATCTGAAAGTTTATCAGAAACCTGTATTCTAGAGTAAGTGTCAGAGTTCTTTCCCTGAATCTCTCTGAAGATGAAACATATTTGCAAAAACATCATAATAAAACAACTGTCTGGGGGGCTGGCCCCGTGGCATAGCCAGTTAAGTATGCACGCTCTGTTGCTGGGGGCCCAGGTTCGGATTCCAGGCGCTCACCGACACACCTTGTCAGGCCATGCTGTGGCGGCGTCCCACGTAAAGTGGAGGAAGATTGGCATGGATGTTAGCTCAGGGCTGATCTTCCTCACAAAAAAAAGAAAAAAAACTGTCTGCAAATAGTAAAAGACTTTAAAATGGCAATTGACAAAGAAATTTGGCCATTTTGGTAACATACAACACTTTGAGATAATAACTAGAATTATGACTGATAACCAGGTCAGATCAGAATTTTAGGAATATTATATAATTTTAAAACATTTATATCAATAACATTTAACCATATAATATCATAGGTCTCTACGAAATAATGCTTAGTTATCCATCCAATCAAAGTGACAACAGGAACAGTCAAGGGCAGACAAATTATGCCCAATAATTAATTTTTAATATTATATCTTGGTAAATGACCTACATACTCAATAAATTTCTATCATTTAACTTAAGTTAGCAAAACTCTAAAGTTTTAAGTTACCAAAAAGATTTTGAAAGTTATTTTTTAAGTTTTATATACCATAAAACATAATATTGCACCCAAAAATTCTTACTCATTTTTATTTATCTAAATTATTTATTTGTTTTCAGAAATTATGTTTAGGTTACTCTCAAAAACTTTGTGTGACATTAAAGCAGTAGCCATCATCTTAAGTTGTTTTAAGTACATACACCATAACACATAATTATTGTTAAAAAGTTCTCCAAGAACCTTTATCTATTCTACATTTATTTAGTTTACTTGTCCTCAATAATTATATTTAAGTCATCTACAAAAACCTCATGAGACATCAAACAAAATCAGCTATTATTTTAAGTTATTATTTTTGCCAACAAACTTTGTAACAGAGATAACACGTCTGCATCATAGCCAATGTTGATAACTCTGAAAACATATTTATTTTAACTAAACCAACAAACTTAAACAGGCTTTCATTTACCAAAGATCATTTTATACCATGTTAAATAACTTTGTCTTTTAGAAGTTTCTGCATATTAATCAAAGACTGCATTCCATCCTGAGAGGTTTTGAATCCTCTCTTTTAAGGGTGACCCTTAATGTGGACTCATCTGAAACAGAAGTTCCCCAGAATGGCCATTACAATTCCAAATTATCTCAAAAGTTTACTTACTTCTACTTGCTTAATTTTAGATCAGGACCTTCAGAGGAGGTGAAGTGGGGAAGCTCAGCAAGAGAGGAGAAAAGAGCAGCAGATTTGGCTCAGCGGCTAGAATGTTTAATTATTTAATTATTTTCTTTTAAAGAGGCAGTAAAGTATTCTTGATTTCATTTAGAAGGCTCAAAAGATTAAAATAAGGTTTCTGATGGTTGTTCAACTTTGTAGCTGCCTTTTTCCAATTGTATATGTAAGAACACCAGTTTAGGTAAACTGAAATTGCCCCATTTTGGCTACTTTAAAATCTCCTTTAGCATGTTTAATTAATATTGCCTGAAGGGTGGATTTATATGCTTTTACAATATCGGGCAGGGAAACGTTCCACAGTGAGACATAATGTTTATTCCCATAACATAGTCTATAATCCAATCAGAAAAAGGAGATGCAATCATTTTTGTTAAAGCCCATTTAAATATACTAATTTTTACAAAACTTTATCTTAATTTTATCAACCCTCATACCTCTAGTTACATCTTATATTAGAATTCCATTAACGAGTTTTGCTTTTACAATACTGTGTAGGGGAAGCATTCCCAGGCAGACATAACATCCATTTCCAAAAAAAAACATTCAGGCAAAGTTGATATAACATCTTCATATATTACCTTGAACATTTTAATCTTTATAGTCTTATCAACCTGAGCAGCCTAACTGTTGCCCCAAACAATTGTTGGTCAGATTTCTCATTATGATCTCTGCCTTCTGGCTTTTTAAATTTTTCAAGCTGGAGTGAATAGAACAGGCTTGTCTGAGGTCTTTTAAGGTGGGGAGCAGTAGGGGGTCCCTTTAGCCCACCCAACCTTAGGCAGTGTTTTATTAAAACCTGTGTTTTAACTTCATTTGTGTCTGTTCCAATCATCCCATTTTTCATTTTAATACCTAAAGATCTCCATTCTGCTGAGATGAGTCCTGTGACTCCTCCCCTTCTGACTTTTCTTTGTTTTTCCCCCTTCAATATTTGTCTTATTTAATCCACTGTCTTATTTACCTTATTATTATTTTTTAACTCCTCTAAAAATTTCCACCTTGTTGAGAGGAGTCCCTTTTTTCTCTCCCAGCTCCCTTTCACTCCTCTGTTAACTCAATGCCTTCATTAGCATCTGTAAGACCATGAAAGAAAGCTGAAACCCCAAGTTTAATTAAGTATTTAAGACCAGTCATTATATTTTCCTTTTAATTTAATCTTTTCACAGGTACCAATAAAACAGCTATTTATGATGAGAGTTCTCTAAGACTTTTCCAACTTAAGGATCCACTTTTTGGCCATTTTTTTCTCTGGAGTCTAAAGAATATTGTGGCCATGTGGTGTTACAAAAGAAAATCATCCCATTTTAGACATTGGCTTAATAACTATAATTAGACCATCTACTCAGAATCAGCCCCACTGGGCTCTGCTTGGGGACAGACAGCACATTCCCCATTCCAATACACAGAGATGGACAGACACACAGATCCAGACACAGAAAAACCAGACACCGGTGAACTGGTTCCCAGATTTAGGGTAGAAAGTCCTACAACTGTTCTTACTCTGAATGTGTGCCCAGATGGCCCCTCTGCAAGTGGAAAGGACCCCAGATGGAGGGGAAGGGAGTTCACAAGCATCCTCGAGGTGATTTACCCTATTCCAGATTGAGTCACCAGAAGAAAAAACAAACAAACAAACAAATCTAGAGCCTGTTTCCTTGCCATAAGAAAATGTGCCTAGGGCCAGCAATGCCAGGTCAGACAGAAAGTGTTGGGGACAGTCCCTAGGTTAAATCACCTAGGCAGCTGATGGACTGTTTCCCAGGAAATCCTAGTCAGCCCAGGGCTACAGAGCCACACACAAAGAGCCTGCTGGCTGGCTCACCAAATTGTTACCAGATACAAACACAGGTTCTTTACCTGCCGGACAAGAAAGGCCAAGTAAAAACTGGAATGCCAGGCCTATGACAGGGAAAGGGTTTTTATTTCAGGTGATGTGAGCCAGAAGACAAGAGCGAGCCCTCAAATTTGCCTCATATCCCCAAAAGTTGGGAGGCAAGGTGTTTTAAATGTTGTGAGGAACGCAGCTGCTTGTAGGGAGGGGGAGCCTGTGGCCTTGCTGGTGGGCGCTTTCCCACCAGTCTGCATTTGGCCTCATGAGGCTGCTTGAAGGGAGGGTGATGGTGAGATAAGGGAATCCACAGGTGGGTGTCCTTGGTTGTCTGCCTCCATGGTGGATGGTAGAGTCTGGCACCAGGAAGCCAAGGAGTTGGGGTCTGGGAAGCTTTAGCTTCTTGGTATTCTCTGGATATCAGTTTCCCTGTAATAAAACTTCAAAAGACCCATAACTAGCCAAAACTTCAGTGTAAGCCCAGTGCAAGGCCACCTGGGCTTTTAACAATTTGTAACTTCTATTTGCCTTGTGAAGTTCAATGATACAAAGGTTTTAAAAAAACAATATTTACGTATGAATGCAACTTAGAGAAGCAGGGAAAGGGGATGAGTGTTTTAGGCTTTAACCCCATATATGCTGGGTTTAATGTAGGGGAACTGATATCAGGGCCGGCATCAGAAGTACCTTAAATGTCCCATTGGGCCTGATTGTGATATGTTCACTTATGTATTACCCATTATTGCTTGTGTGGTTTGGGTTCTTAGCCATTGTGGGAAAAGACAAGGTGTGTATAAACAAACAAAATGGGCTTATCCCCTCTCTACCCCTGATACCAGCTCAACACAAGGTTGACATAAGGAAGCTATATTATAGAAAGGAAGCCATATTGTAACTTTGAATGACCTCTGATTAACTAACCCAGCTGAATGTGTACCATCCAGGAAATACACATGCTCTGTAGATTTTATGACCCTTGCTTGCATATGTACCTCCCAGCTGTGATAAGAGGATAACTTTGTTCTTTTGAGTTCCTTAGGAATGTAATGACGCCCAGACAGAGATTCTACACTGGTGTCTATCATCAATGACAGCTGAAAGGCCTGGTGTTGTGACTCCCAGTCTGTAACACCAGGGGGTCATGATTCCTGACCCCCTCCTCTATAGTCCACTAGTCCTACATACCTGCTTCAAGATTCTGTACCCCTTTAAGATGGTTTTTTAGGATGCTAGTCCACTGCCTTCTGATCAGCTAGTTCATTATTTAATAAAAGTCCTTTCTCTGCCACCATCTTGCCTTTTGACAGATTGGCTTTTGTCTTGCAGCGAGCAGATCATGCCCTTTGTGTGGTAACACCCCGAGACATAGTTTAATAGGCTCTTTTGGAGATGACTAAATTTTCCAGACAAGTCAGGAGATTGTCACTTGTCCTGACAGGCCAATGAGGAAGGCAGTGTGCTGAGACCACCTGTCAGCACCTCCAAATCCCCTCTCCCTTCTCTTCTCCTTCTCTTCCCAGGGGGCTAGGTGATGGGCCATATCAAAGGGCCGCCTTTCCCTCTAGCTATTAGAGGACTTGGTGAATGGGGATGGCAAGAGATCAGAAAGAGGAGGACAGGGAAGTACAGGTATTTATTTCCCTGGCTTCCTTCCTGCAAGGTGGCCTCCATCAAAGAGCAAAGCTCCTCAGGTCCCAGCTCCTCTCAATGCAGCCTCTCCATATGACTCTCTCCCCTGATACCCTCTCTCCCTCCCTGGCCCCTTCAGGCATAGGCTATTTCTAGCCCCATACTGAATTCCCCAGTAGTTCCACCAAACCCTGCCCACAGCTTTGTAAATAGTCCCTTAACTAAAACCTTCTTAAGTTATCCTATTCTGTTTCCTTCTGGGGCCTTGACTTATATAGCAGGGATGACAAATGCTCCTTTAACTACAATGGGGCTGTGTAATGCACCTACAAGTAGAGCCAGCCCCAGGTTTCATAGACCATTTTTCTTTTTCAGGTCCTTAAGGTCCCTATCATGAAAGAGAAGGGGGAAAACTGGCAAAACAAGTAATAAATTGTTTCAGCCCATGATATGTGCTGTGCAGATGGGGAAAAAGTGTTCTACAACACACGTGAGAAGGACCCACTCAGGACAGATCCCTGAGCACGGGGAGGATTTTATTGGGGTGAGATAGCCCTCACCTGGATCAGAGAGCCTCCCCACCTATATCAAACTATGCCAGACACTGCCTGCAACTCAAAGCTTGTTCTGGTTCCAAAGCAACTCATGTCAAGGGGAGGCATATGAGACCCAGCACCTCATTCATTTATTTTTTATTTATTTTGTGTGTGTGTGTGAGGAAGATTAGCCCTAAGCTCACATCTAATGCCAATCCTCTTCTTTTTGTTGAGGAAGATGGGCCCTGGGCTAACATCCGTGCCCATCTTCTTCTGCTTTCTATGGGACACCACCACAGCATGGCTTGACAAGCGGTGTGTCAGCGCGTGCTCAGGATCCAAACCTGCGAACCCCGGGCCACCAAAGCAGAGCACCCTCACTTAACTGCTACGCCACTGGGCCAGCCCCTCATTTATTAATTGAGTGCCTGTATTTGCCAGTTTGTGTTCTAAGAGATGATCTCACTTGCAAGCATGTCTTTTACTCCTATATTCTCCGGTCACGAAACTAAAGGCAAGTCACTCATCAACATCATCATCATCATCATTATCATCATCATCATCTCTTAGCTGCCATTAGACTTTGTTTTCTCATCTTCAGAACCACATCTCCAATCTTCCATCATCGAGGACTCTTCTTCCTCTCAAGTTTTACATAAGGTACCCCAATATCCTACTCTCTAACAAACCCCTAACTTTCAGCTGGCTAATATTCTCATTCCCATAGGGTCTTCTCTTCCACCTCATAGAGATATCTAGGACTTTAACCTTCCATTTGCTTCCATTCATCTTTTGCCTCTTGGATCCCCTGCCTTCCTTACCATTGCCCCAAGTTGCTAACTGGAATCCCTGCTTTTAGTGTCTCCGTCATTCAAATCATTCTCCACCTTGCCATTAGGGGGATGTTTCTAAAATTACCTCTGCTCGTGCCAATCCCCAAAATCTTAGCAAGGTGTAACAAGCCTGAACTATTTCCCCTTCTTTAAACATCACATGATCTCTTTGGCCTCGGATACTTTGGCTCATGTTGTATTTTCCAACTCAGGATGTTTTTTCCTCTTCCTGCCTCAGTGTAACCACAGAATTCCAGTCTGTCATCACCTCCTCACCCTGGTGGGTGAAGCTGAGGAAGAACTGAGAAGAAACAAAATATACAGCGGAGATTTCATGTTTTTGCAGTAAGATGATTAATGAAACCCTCTTTTACAGATCACTACCTTGTCTAATATGCTTCTGTGAGCACAGAGTATTCCAGGAATAACTGTGATGGGTCCAGGGTTCTGCCTCTGAGCTGGCACAGGCTGACATGGCATATTCCCAGGGATAGAGGACAAGTGATCTCTGTTGCCTCTGCTACATTCCTACTCTCATTGCCCTGGTTCATAAGCCCACCATCACTTGCTATGTACTAGGGCAGCCACTCTACCTGAAAATCCTTTATGTATTTGTTTGCTTACTTATCATTGGCTTTCCCCACTAGAGCAGGGATTTTGTCTGTCATTTAATTATTTACAGCACCTAGAA